TAAATACACCCTTAGACAACAGGCATAACACTGTACAGTATGTTGCTGGGAGGCCTCGGATAATATCAAACTGAATCTCTAACTGTATTTGTCATTGACAGGCTGCAACACCTACAACATCTGTCTCAGTATCTGTAGGTGTCACCGTTAGTAAAGTGCTCTCAGCATGTTTCAGTGTACAAAGTCGAATTTGTCCTCTAGTAGTCTCCTAAACTAAGTGAATACAAATCTGAAGAATGAAGGGCAGTGATATCAAATCATTAAGTGTAGGAGTATGTATCATCCTTTTGTGTTTTATGCAAATTTGCCTCACATAACCAAATTGGACATCTTCAGTCAGTCTCTATCAGTGGCTATAAATCTCTAACGGATGCCAAGATAAATGTAAACTAATATTATTAAGAGACACATTCACCTACACAGAGTACACTTGCAGGGAAGCAAATGCAGACAAATGACAACATATCCCAGACAATATATTCTCAGGGATCTCATAGCACTTATAATGCTGCTATTACTCATGAACATCTATTTAAATAAATCAATCACAACTGAACAATACTGGCTCATATTCCAATGCAATATCCTTTCCAATTAACAGCATAAAATGCACTACTAATTACAGCTGTGATGTTTCTTTTAATAATGCTTTAGGTAAGTAAACACTCAACAGACCACAAAGCCTTTCAGTCCAGAGGTGACAGCAGTACAACAAACTCATCAACATTTTGGCAAAGCAACCATGTGTAAGTGAGAAGGTTAAAACAAGCAATAAGGAATAGCTTACTGGCATCTGAACTCTGCCTTTTATGGTAAATAGGTTGAAGAGAATAACTGTAAAGTGTTCAGTCAAGAGTGGAATAAGGTTTCCAGTCACGCTAGTGGCATGGCTCTCCGAATGTCTGTTGGTGGGTTCGCCACTTTGGTCAAGACTGAAATAATTCAGCAACTTTTGAGTGGACTGTCGTGAAATTTTGTCCAGAGGTTTACGGTGCCCTAAGGATAAACTGTAATAACTTTGGTGCTCCCTTGACCTTTTCCTTAAGCACCACCAAAAGTCAAAGTTTTCATTTATCCACTGCAACATCTATCTAAACCATGGATGCAGGCGATGTGATGGGCTGGTGGGCGACAGGTGCGGGCGGGAGGTGATAGCCAGAAACAGACAAAGAAACGTGAGACGAGTAAACAAAAAGTGCAACCATCAAAATAAAAACATGAACCAGGAAGTTCTGATAGGACTGGCACAAAGTTGGTCTTCAGCATGAAGATGAATAAATTTGGTGAACCCTTGACTTTTCATTAGAATCAGATAAAAAAGAAGTTGGTTTTAATCGATATCAATATTCCCATCAGGCTGAATTATACATTATTTAGTGCTCATAAGCAAATGTTGTACCTGGAGTCATACACTGCTAATACAACATGGATTTTACAGTAAAGCACAGTGAAATAATGCACAAAACAAAAGTCCATGAGCAAAGAGAATAGATGAAACAGCAGAGCGCCATTCTGCTTTAAATGTCATGTTTGATTACGTTCTCCTGATCTATTTCTGCACTCTGGCTTAATGGCTGCTATATGGAGCTGCATGACACCAGAGCAATCCAAGGTTCAGGTTCATCATCATTTCCACACACATGCAGGACATACATATAGACTAGGGAAACAAAATGTTGTTCCTTGTGGCTTGTCATGGACAGTGCAACACTACCAGACATAAGGAGAGAGTGCATAACAATAAATAGGTGCAAAAAACTAAAAACTAAAACTAAACATATGATTAATGCACAAACACCATATGGTCTTAAGGAATGAGTGCCCTCTTACTCACCAGCTCAACGACATAGACACACAGTAAACCCAGTGTACCTTCCCCTCCTTTAGCAAACTTGACATGCTGGTGGACTCTGGGCAAAACAGAAACTGAATTTACATCACGGAAGATGATGACAAAGCAGTGAGGGTGTGCTGACAATAAAGATAATGCAATTTAAGTGATATTAAAGGCCACAGGGGCACATTACTGTAGCAGTACTGGACTGATATAAGTGGATTTAAAGTGATTGACAGAATAAATGTATCCACGAGCATCCTGAGATATTCCAGCACTCACAAGAAACACAATCTGTAAGTGTGCATGTGTCTGTTATGTGTATGATTTCCTGCTAACATGCTGGCAGCACGTCTATGTGAGAATTATAAGAAAGTCATATTGCCAGCATCCACTGACAGTTTCATTGCCCTAATTAAAATTCCAAACACAATTGAGGATTCACCATAATTATTTGTTCACATTCATCATTTGGTAAAACTAAAGATGCCAGCACTCAAGGGAAATAATGTTTTCTGTCCAAACCATTTCCACCACTTTCTGTTACTCAAATAACTCCATAGTATGGGAGTACTGTGACCAATCCAGACACAAAGGGGCTAAAAAGTGACCTGGCTTCATAAAACCGGAACAAGACTAACATCTCTGCCTCTACATTTTCACACCACAGGAAGGCAAACCCCTACAGAAAAGACTCTCACTTACATTACTGTTTTGGTACTGTAGGTGAAATACCAATTAAAAATGGCCAATTTTGTAGTCTGTTATCTTGCCAGCATCTTGCAGTGGCTATAAATCAAAGAAATTGAAAGTTATTTTGGCTTGAAACATTCAGCGTGAAGGCACTATTAAATAGTTACATGATGTGCTGTTGTGCTGTCGGCGAGCCACTTCAATCAAAAGAAATGGGTTCAACTTCAATTATCTCTACCTCGAGACTCAGCAGTTGTTATGTTCTGAGAGTCAGGTCAGACACAGCATTCACAAACAAGTAAATTCTCACATAAAAAACTGCTCTACCCATCCATCCATCCATTATCTACTGTTTACCACTTATCCCGAAGAGGGTCATGAGGGGGCTGGAGCCGATCCCAGCTGACATTAGTTGAGAGGCGGGGTACAACCTGGACAGGTCAGTGGTCTAGCTATACTCAACTACTGTACCTGTAGGTACATTTTAAAGGACTGCATCCAATTTGTTACAGTATGTGTCAAAGGAGGGCCAGGACAGGATCAGTAATTAAATTAGCTATTGACACAACAGGGTCCTCCTTTTGATAAAAGGGACACTAAAACAATTTCAGTATTCTAAAATAAATCAGAATAGTCCAATGTACAACTGGCACAAACATTTGATCAAAATGGACCATCAGTCGGTTCTGGACACTCACTATGAGAGGAGTACATCAAGTGTGCATGAAAAAACCTGCTGTTCATTTGCTTAATATTTGCCAGCATAGTTGTCAACATACAGAGCGGGAGAGAGAGTGCTCATTGGAGAAGGTACTGTATTCACAAATTAACAGCTGCTCAGAGAATGTAGCCCAGCATGCTTAGTGAAGAGCCAGCGTGCACCAGAACGACAAAGAACCAGCGGCCAACACGAACAACAAGCCTGTAATAAGATGAATGTTGCAGCCAAAACAGCATTAATATTATTATTATTTTAAAGATTTTACATTTGACATTCTTCCTGGACTTATATTCTGCTCTTCATTGAAATGCATGTTGCACCTTCTCCCATCTGCCTCCACACCATATTATTCTGACTAAAAGGCTACAGGTCAAAAGCTCAAGGTACTGTTATTCATTATGACCCAACACATTCACTCCAAAAGACCTGACAAATGTTCACAGACACAAATCATAATCTCTTTTACCTCAAAAGAGTGATTTATATTGTGCATTTTGGCTGATAAATAAATAAATACTTATCTATGAGATCAAAACAAAATCAATACAAAACATTACACTGAAAGCACTCTGTACTGTCAAAGTTCACAGCTGACTGTGGGAAAGGAATTACCTTTGTCATCATCGCCACCTTACTAATGACCATATAACTCTCTGGGTAATGAAATGCTTCAAGTGATATGTTCAAATAGCTGTCTCCTATTTTTAACCACAAAATGTAAAATTAACTAGTGCGGTATTTACTCATGCTAGATAGCTGTGACTTATGGAGATAACCCCTCTCTGACTTACTGTTCCCACACTTCTCAAAATAATTACATTTCATATAGAGATAAAAGTGAACAGGTGGCCGTTTTTCTCTGTGTTCTGTGTCTCAGAGATAAATGAGGGTTAACTTGTGTGGGAGGAATTTGGACTAGTTTCATTGCACCATGTGAAGTGTTTGCACAATTACAGCATCACAGCACCTGCACAGCTGTTTTGCACTGTTTATTTCCTCGTTACTGACTAACTATGCTTTCTGTTATCCTTACTTGCACTGAAAGCGGACCAATATTATTCTGACACACTACTGTACCTGAGTATAATATGACTCAGTTAAGGACAGTGGCTTCAGAATTGGAATTGTTCCCCAGAAATGTGGCTGAGAGGTGCTCTGAATTTGGAGGTCCAAAAGAAACCCCACAGGCACTGATAAAGAAAGTCACATTGTGCCTGCAATATATAAATACAAGGGCCATGCAGTGTAGAATATAGACAAACACATCCTAATCCTCAGACTGCAGTCAAACAAGACAGACACAGCCAGGTAGTACTAAGCAGAAGCTGAGTGCAACATTTTCTCCGTGACGGCAATGCACATTTTTCCACTAACCCTGCAGCAGTGTTGTACCCCCAGTTGTGCAGCTCATACAATTTCAGGAACTGGAGGTGAAACCTGAAATTATAAAATGCTCCCACTCATTTTTCACTTAACAAAACTAAGCTTGTTAAAGCTAATACTTTCCCTGGACCTCTAACCATCAATAGAGCTGCTGTTAGTCCTTACCTCATTTACTCCCAGCATCCATGTCCCAGGTTACATGCACTGCACATAGTACACGTGTGATTGACTGACTGGGAGTGTGATGCTCATTTCCTCTGCGAAAGATGCTGATTGAGTTTCATTTTAAACAATGGAGTCAGGCAGTCGGTGCAGGAAGTATTCAGAAGTATTTTATTCACCATCAGTAGCCTGACATTATAACAGCATAGTATTTGTTTTGCTATCGATCTAACTATAAAACCGATCTTGCATGACTGATGTTTAAGGGCGGGTGGTATTTTGAATTTCAACACCTGACCTTGGTCTGGCTTTAAGTGGATCCTGCCATTTAACAGCACATCTACACAAGTTTAACACCTTCTGCATTAACTACTCTGCCTTTTTAAAGAACTCAATATTTGACAAAGAGTTGTTTTTTTCTGTGAGGCTAAATTGCACAAGCACAATCATATTGTCATTACAGAGCACTGCTGAATTATACATACACAAGCAAATAATTAATCTGCCAGGCTTGCCAACATTTATTATCATGATTTTTTTAAATCCCTATCAGACATACATAGAGATGACTCCTGCTGAGGAACACCTATTGAATGCCTAATGTTCAAAATCAGTGCAACATTTATTGGATGGTATCTGGCAAATTTCCCCAGGCCAAAACAAGATATTTTCAAACTGCTAACTTTCAGACATGTGGCATTACACGTAGGTGTGTGTGGTGCCAGAAAGGCCAAAGTGTAACTGGCAGTGGTCTCACATTAATCAGAAAACATAACACAAGTTATGAATGCATCTGTGTGCATTCAAGCCCCTTAGCTGGCTGAAATGATGTTCAAACAAAAGCAACAACCGTGCTTCCTTTGTGTTCCTTGCCAAAAGATTCAGCCTGGCACATGTAACTACAGTTATGCTGTCAATATGACAGAAAATTAGAATTATTGACTCAAATAGTTTTTAAAAATACATACTGTAGAAATGTGTGGAGATAGAATTTACATTTCAGTTTGACTTTTTTGTCTTTCTAATTTACAAGTACCCTGCTTTTTCACTCATGTCACAAAATGCCAGAAATGGTTAAAATTAATGGAACCACAGACAAATTTACATTTATAGAACTTTTGTATATACTGTGGAGTCATGATGCTATCAAAGCTAAATATGAACATTATGTTGTATAGATTCACCAGTATGCATTTTAACCTGAGATGATTTACTGTAACTGGGAAGAAGTTCAAGTCTTGTAATTGGTTTGCTAAAGCCACTGTTGTTTCGCTGAAGGGATGGAAAACAGACTAGCATTAAGTGAGAAAACAGTGATTCTAAAAGCTTCAGCTGAGTTGAGCGTGTCAGAGAGATTTGACACGACATTGACTACAGCAGCAGTTCTCATCCACTCCATTTTGGAGACCCAGCTGGGCACAGTGAACCCTCTGAGGAAAACACATGTTAAAACAGCCCCAGCTGAAAATCCAAAACCCTCCAGGGGCTCTCGAGCCATGACTCTCCAGGGCTCACACATGCTGTTATTCAAATAAACTGTATAATAATCTGGCAATATGAGCCCACATCTCCACTTACTTTAACTGGGAACCTGAACTTTCTGAACAGTTCAAATAGAATCTAGTGAACTGCTTCAAATGGAGGAAAAAGCCAAATAATGTAAGAGCAAAGCCAGTTTTACTTCTCCCTATTTTAAAGGGCTAGTTCAAACAAATTACAAACATACTGTCCACATTTTTTGTTGGGACTACTGTTTTGGTATAAAACAGTTCCAAAGGAAAACCAGGGCACTGGAAAAAGACAAAGAGGCATTTTCAGTGTATTTCAGTGAATTTACAGTAAATATATAAACGAACAACCACCATTGTATTAGAGTGGCTGTGAGCAGGCATTTTAAAATCTGCACATAATACACAAACTCTGCATGGTTAGATTTTTCTAATGTTAGTTAATCAACCTTTTGACTTGGCACAAAAACAGAGAATAAGTTGAACTACGCTGGTTCTCATACACTTATTCCAATCATCAGAAGAAGAAAATAGCAAATAAGAACAGAAAAGGAACATACATTTCAAGAGAAGTATTATTCAAATGACTGGAATTAGGTAATGCATTGTAGGCATCTGATGTTTTTGAAACATATGCAAAATCCCTTCTGTGGCTTAAATGATCCTCAGAGCCGTGTTTGAAGCTGCTGAGGTTTTAAAGACATTTGGACACAAAGTTAAAGTCCTTTCTGCTGAGGACACTGTATTGTATCCTTTCTTCAGCGACAACTGGAATTCATCTGCATGGGAGTTCAAAATTCAAAGTTACACATGGTGTTTTTCAAAATCATAATTTCATATCCTGTGCCAAAAAAATGAAATATAAAAATAAAGAATTTCCCCTTAAGGCTTTTTTTTATGCCTGGCAGTGTGGACAGATCTAAAGAAATTATAACCATCCAGTTCTTTGAAAAATATCTGGGGGGACTTTTCTTTGAATGTCTGGTGAAATTTTCTCTGAGGGGCTGCAGCACATTCTGAAATTCTAGCAACAACTCAAGACTCCTATCGGGACAGAACATGAAGGATTCTTCATTTGATGAAATACAGCTATACACTCATCCTCCTCCCTCAATATTTTGGAGAAGGGTGAATGAAATTCAACACCAAAGTCCAGCCTGACTGGGATGTTGTTGCTGACACACTAGAAATGCTGGCATAGCAAACATATAGTGAGGACCTCCTCAGAGGACTTCTCTCAGTGCCAAGCAGCATCTTTCCACCACTCATCACTCCATGTCTGAGTGAGCCCCACTAGGAATTAAACTTGTTTCATTCAAATAGGTTACCATTCATAAGTGTGTTAGATGTCTACTTGATTTATTGCACTGCGTCAGTTGCCTGAGGCTAATAGACTTTACATGGACTTGAGCTGGCCTGTTGTTCCATTAGGACAGTGTAAATTTAGCTACACAACACCAAAAACATCTGTGAGTAGAGGAACAGCTTGTTATTTATAATGTGCATTTCACAGAATGGCAGTAATGAGCTTTCACATAACATTTCAAATTTTCATTAGATCAGTTAAATTGATATGAAGCAATCCTAAGGTTTTGTTTAGACCTTTGTGACCATTATAAGGCAGCAGGTACTTCCATGTTTTGAGCCTTGAAAAATAGGTGGCTGTAGTAAGGGTGTTGAGGTGAGCTTAAAGTAAAGGTAAAATGTTTATCTGCCTGAGCAGCAGCTGGACTCTTTTGTGAAACTACATGTTGGGTTGTGTACATTCTGGGAGTAATTACAAAGCTTCAGCATGCTTTAGACACCAGTCGGTGTTCAAACTGTTGTTTAACTATCCTAGTCTTAGCCTCAATTAACCTTTAACAGCCTAATAATTTATTGATTACTGGCTTAAACTAAAGCCTCAAACAGATCTCCAGTGAATAAAAAAAGTAAGAGTCTCAAATTTTTATACTTTTATGCCAAAATAGAGCACATTGTACAGCATTAGTGATACTTTTTGAAAGATACAGTGTCTCCCAAAAAAGAAGATATGCACCTCTGTAAAGTTTAGATTGTTCATAGGATATAAATATACACATATACACACTCACATATTAAGACATGGACATATGCTTGCATGGTCCTTCTTAATAAGCTCAACATCAACAATACAAAAACATTTACATCTGTGAAGGGCTCCATAATTCATGACTCGCTCTCTCATACACAAACACCCATGCACGCACACACACACACACACACACTGTACTTACAAAGATATTTATACAGGCCCTTCATGTGCTTCAAATTATTATAACTCAGTCTTATCACTCTTATTAAGTCCATTTGAAGGGTTTGCCCTAAAGTCATCTTTAAGCCATTTGTTGAAAACAGCAATGGGATCGATGTTCCAGTGTTTATGGAAAGAGATGGGCACCTGGTGAGCTAAGAAGTCTCTGGCATAGTCCTCTGGGCGTGCCTGAAAGGTAAGATTAAGTACAGTAATTTATATTTGGAAGGAGTCACAAGAGACTGCATACGGGAGCTGCAGAGAGCAAGAGCGAAGACATTAAAGTGAAAGTTACTGTATGTTCACCAGATATCGCGTAATGAAAACAGAACAGTATTTATGTATATGTTTATTTTACTGGGTGATTCTCTGACACTGTGATCTAGTGGTTAAATGAACATATTGGTTTATCAGTTGATGTCCTCTTAAAGGTCCTGCATGCACATTTGATGGACACCTTGCTCACTCTTCTGTCCTTTTGTTTGGCTAGAACAAATTACACCAAGACATTTTGACATGTCACAGTAGAAAAAAAAACAGGTGAAAACAAATAATGTGCATGTTGGCTCACTGTGACTGACTCACTGGGAAACTGCACCCGAGCCAACCTTATCGTTATTTTTAACATTTTTAGCAACACCTGTGCTTTTCCAACTATGGCAAGTCAAAATGTATATTATGAAAACTGTCTATTGGTACATGGCGTTCAATAAGCTTCACATAAGTCCTAGCATAGCTCTGCCATGTTAAATCCAATGTAACGACACATTTGTGACAGAGTGGAATTACCATAAATACAAGTTTGATCACCAGTCAGATTTTTGTTTATGTCCACATCCAAGTTATAAATATGGGAAACACAGATTTTTTTTCTGAAAGCTATGATATATTCAACTTAACATTTGGGTGGGGCCTGAAAACGGTAAATCCAAATATGATGCCTTACGTCAGCCAGTTCAATTTGTTGTTTAAGATAATTAAACCCTATTTTAAGAGATGCATGGCTATATTGTTAATGCAGAGCACAAAACCAACCACTTCAAATCTCTGCTTACATGAACACTAGTACACACTAACACAAGTCATGTAAATTTCCATTCTCCACTATCCTTAATGATGAGATTGTAGCATGATGCGGCATTTCTCAACAAGCTGTAATACTAGTTTTTATTTGAATGTAACTACCAATATATCTGTGATTTTTCCTCTAGGCCTTTTTGCCTAATGAGAGATGTTGTTGCTGTCAGAAATTCCTGATATCGCCAACTAAATATTACAACATCAGAGTCTGGTGTGGATAGTTGCAGAATCTAAGATATGACTAAAAATGCGGCACAAGTGGAAGTCTAATCAGCCAGAAAAACTGAACACCCATGTGGGTGTGCAGAGCCTCTAAATATTAGATATCAGCCAGTTGTGTTGTGAACTACAAATAAGACAGAGGTCTCTCTATCTGTCTCTGAATGATGAGTCTGTAAGACCTGTGATGAAATCCAGCTCCTGCAGTTTATTCATTAAAAGTCATCACATAGGTCACTACCTATAAGTGAAGCGATGTCAAATGATGATTCAAAATGACTTAAAAGTATTTTATCCCTCCCATTGTCTTTAAAAACCTTTATCTGTCTCACCATATGTACAAATCACATGGTGTGAAACACAGAAAATGTATGAAAGTGAACACAACCTGGTGGAAGAGTGGACTGTGCGTGACAGGAAGTCCAAGAGCATTGAAGCACATTCCCAGCACCATGTCATCTGGCGCATCATTGCTGTAGCACTTACAGCCGCTGTTCAGAAGTCGGACCACAGCCTCCCGACTGAACACCATCCTACAGGAACACAGATGGACGTTAGAAATATGAAAACAGATTTGTAACAGCCAGTGTAGCTGCAGTGTACAGGAAATGATCAGCAAATCAGAAAGTGATATGTACATCTTTCAGTTTTCATTTTAAGATTCAGCGCTCTTATTATTTATTCATTCAGTGAAAGGGTGACACAGGGAGTCAAACTGCAAAGCAAAGGCAGAGAGAGATCTGTGCAGCAATGATGCGACATGTATGTTCATAAGAATTCTCTCATGGTTCTCTGATGTATGTACATGAGAAAACCAATTAACCATGGAAGAAAAAAAAATCTTTGGCTGCCAGAAAAATCACTCATTGCCACTCAAAACTGTTTTTAAAAGATATCACTTTTGAGAAAACTGGCAGGTGCAGTGTTGTAAAGTGTCATAGCAACAGAACTGTCCCTAGACAGTTTCTCACAGCTCACTCACAGCTCAGGATTTATCTATAGTTCAGATTTCCTCCAGCACTGACAGCTGACAAATAACTTGTGCTTCTTGTCCACGTCTGCAGGATCTTATGGAATTGTAATTATTTGTGTGCTATATATTTTTTTGTGGTAACTACCAGTTATATGACATTGTGCAGGGATTTTCAGGCAGTGGTCCGCGGCCCCCTGGTGGTTATTGAATGCATTGCAGGTGGTACATGACTATGCATTCAATAATAGAATTTACTTTTTAAAACACATTTCCATGTATTAATTATAGCTTGTGAATCATGAAATTCATGCAAATATATAAAAGTCAGAAAAGCCAAGGTGACTTCCAAGATTAAAAGAGTGCTCATCCAGTCTACCCACCACACAACAGTGGTTCTCAGGTTGCTTTGTTGGTACAGTGGTGGTCCCTTGCTCATAATCAGCTGAAAACCCCTGATGTAGTGTGAATACTATGTCTTGATTTGCTGTTGTGTCTTATCAACTAATGACTACATGTTTGCTGTATTTTGTGGTTATTTAATCCATATTTTTATAGTCATTGTATCCTTACGGTAATTCAACCTGCAAACCAAAATATCCCTTAAGGAAGTAACAAACTTTCCAGCTCAACTGAAATTGTTTATCTGTAAATTACAGACTACAGGTTTTTCATTACACATTTTATAGCCCCTCCGCTGTGTCTGCATCTTTCATCAGCATTCCTCAAGCATCTGAGCCATGAAACTCACCCTCCACCTCCTGTGATGTAGCTGTAGCCACCTTGGCTCAGACCATAACCGTACCTCTCCCCTAAATACACTGGTTCAGAGGGGTCGTAACAGCTCAGCAAGACTTGCAGCCTGGGGATGCTGCAAAAAGCACAGATCAAACTCATAACACGCTCATCGACATCATACACATGGGCCACTGTTCATTTAGAGGCTGAAATAACTGCCCTCCCTCAGGCACTATTACCCACCCATCCTTCCATGTGAAGGGGCAACCTGACAGATATAAAGTGAAGCCAGCTGGATTTGAATTTATATACTGAGCGTTTCAGATGTTCGACAGGGTGATGATATCTCTGGAACCCATTTTTCCAAAATTACTTTTCTCATTTCTTCACTTTTGTTGTGGCTGTGAGATAGAATCTGTGCGAATAAACAGTCTGTCAACCTTTGAAAAAACTTATGAAGAACAACACACTGTTTGAGAAAAAGCTTTAACATAAACATAATAAAAATGTACCTGATTAGTGTGTCATCATCCACAACAAGGAGCCACTTGGTGTTTGGGACAGCGCTGCTTACAAATCTTTGAAGTATTGCAAATGTTTTCCCGCAGTGGCCTGCAAATACAGACATGCTATCAATAGACTAGCCAGTACAACTTAATCATATATTGAACATGTGCTGTGTTCTGGTTTACAAAAATAAATTACTCCATTATTGGAAGACAAACAAATGGGCAATTGAGGGGATATGCAAACCATTAACCCATATTTTTAACATGTCGTTTCGACTTGGTCAGTTCCCCAATAATATGAAAATAGCAAAGGTTATTCCACTGTATAAATCTGGTGATAAGCACAACTTCACAAATTATAGACCGGTTTCTCTGTTGTCACAATTTTCAAAAATTCTGGAAAAACTCTTTAATAACAGATTAGATACATTTATTGA